TCTATGCATTATAAAACATCTCTGTATGAAATGTGTATCAATGTAAATTTTTGTCTTTGATGGAATAATATTCCATATACAAAGCAATCCTCACATACAAAGTGAGTCAAAACAAAGTTTTGAGACATTGGGATCTCATGGTTTCAGTTTCATCCTTTTTATTAGGGAGCATTCACATTGAGAAGAGTCAAGGTCTAGTAAGGCCACGACCTCAATATGGCGGACCTACATGAAAGGAAGACAGCTAATCCGTAATGGTCTCTCTGCCTCTGACATGCCTCCCCACACGTTGTCCCTCGACCGATTGAATTGAGCTGATGTTTAATTACTGTGCCCCATTGCAGGGACGACGTGTGGGGAGGATTAACAGGATTAGCGGTCTTCCTTTCATGTAGGTCTGCCATATTTAGGTCGTGGCCTTACTAGACCTCGGCTCTTCTTGATGTGAATGCTCCCTTAGTTACACCGAGTGACTCAATCTTTTATTAACTTCCATGCTTTGTTATGTGCTTTTATGACAAGCAACCAAAACTTGCCAACATGTTTAATGACATCAGAGCCACTGTAAAATGATGAATTATGCACACAAAAAGGCACCTCGATGGCATTTACTCATTGCAAATAACAGCCTCGAAACAAGCAATGATATTGCACTCATTTGCAAATTGCAACACCTTGGATTGCCATGTTTGAATGCAGTTGCAATTTGCAATGTTTTCAAGTTTTCAAGCCCTGGTTTCTGAGCTGACATACCCAGTGAGTAGAGTTTAACCCTTAATAGTACCACTTCATGCAAATTCTTGCACACCTTCTAGTCACACTTCAGGTTAGCTCAGATGACTTCACTGGAGCAGTTCTGTTTTACCCCAAGAGAGATCATTACAAAGGCTCTGTTCACAAAGAGCTCAAATATGGCGTGCACCTGAAAGCTCATTCTGTTCAATAGAAGGATATCTCTTTTAACTCTAAAATACAATTTTCAACTGAAAAATGCTGTTGTTATGTTATCAGCTTGAACAAGCAAATTCACCCCAATGTATTTTTGATGTGACATGATCTCATAACTTAACCATCTTTATTTCTGCATTATCTATGACTGGGTTTCCTGGGATGCCTTGATCGATCCATCTGGATCGGTCTAACTCCCTGGGGAGTCTCCCTAAACAGCTATCAACTAACCTGCTTAAATGTCTGTCATGCCTACCGAATCAGCTATGGGGTGAAGATATTTACCCCCAAACAGCTTTACCAGGTGCGACAGACATTTAAGACAGTTAAGTTGACAATTATTGAGACTCCCCAGAGAGATAGATCGATCCAAATATCTGTGGGAATGGTCCCTAAGTGGATACAGAAATAGATCCAAATGTATCCATCTGCCTAAAGGATGCTGCAGAGCTGTCATTGAATATTGCAGTTGATCAACCCTATCAAAACATGACAACATAGATAATTTATACAGGATGGGGAAATGGCACAAACCCATATTATAAAACATGTTAGTGAAGAATGGCTGTCATGAATAGATTGTATGTGACTCTTCAACAAAAAATTCTACCAAATCAAAATACCCTTTTGGACATGGACCTATACAGTGAGTGTTGACTTTTATTCCACAACAAAATGTGCACATTTCTCAGTTATTTCGTAACTATAAGATGTCACACTGACACGGCACCACTGCTCCATCCAAAGGAAATTTAGTTTGCAAAATAAAAACATGCACTAATGCAAACCATCTCAGATTCTTAAATCTGTTACGAAAGAACCTCAAAAGCTGAATTTGTTCAGAACTTCCAATATCCAAAAAAGGGGTCCAAAAGGTTCAACCTGTATGGAGTCATGAAAGGCTTTGGACTCATTATATTGGAACAGTCCATGGAAATAATATGTTATAGCAAATAAAGCTAACACAGGATAAGAGAGAGTGTATTTACTGTTCAAGCAACTGATGATGAAACATTTCATACATGCACTGGCAGATAGAGTAAGGGGGAAGATAGGGGAACACATATTAGATCTATCAACAAATCCTGAGCATTTACAAAATGAATACTGATTTCAACAGTGACGTAATTTTATTCATATGGGCCTGAAACAAGACAAAGAGTGTTGCAAATAAAAAAGCCATTCCATGTCAGTCATAAGCACTAAAAACCTAATACCCCCCCCCCCCTCATTTCACCCCTTGACACCCAGACAAGGTTTGTTTTCTGTCTCCCAAATCACAAAAATAATATGCTAGTTATACTTTAATAAAAAAATCCAGGGTGACATAACCTAGATTTTTAATCTGAACAGCACCTGACTAAGTATGTCTTCACTCTGATTAAACATAACCAAAGGAAAACCCTGGGAAAAGTAAAGATTTATTTAACAGACATAAATATATTAGCACTTCCTTTTTACTTTATATTTAACTTCTGATATAGAAAAGCATGTTCACATCTGACTAAATTTAGACAGAAAAACAGACTAATTGACACCATCAGATTATCACCTTGCTGGGCATTTATTTACAATACCTGACATGTTAAGTATCACTTTGCCCCGTGTGTTAATTTGGTTAAAAGTCAATTAGTTATTTTAGAAATTAGTCATTACAATGTTTTCAGAGCTCACAACCAGTGCAAAGTTTTATCTTACAGGAAGGCTGTGTATCACTCCTGGGTTCGACATGTTGGATTCAGCTGACAGCAAGATGCACAGTTCATGCACTGTAGTGCTGAAAATTGAGCATTTTGAACTGATGATTTCACCCTTTTACATGTCATAAAAATGTATCTGAGCTGGTTCTTTAGGGCATTTATTTATAAAAACAAGATTGCAGCCTTAGACGCAATCCCATTTATGACCAAAATAATAAGTAGGGAGTCGCTCAGGTGCAGTTTTAACAGCCACTTGCGCCTCCACCGCACTTACTGAGTCATTTTAACCAATCATTACATGTCCTAATTAACGTGAGACCCAACTATTACATGTCGTGATCTTAGCGAGTACGGTCATATCGTATCCAGCCTCTGGCAAGAACGATCGACTCCAGATAGCCAAACTGTAGAGAACATTCATGTACTTCCAAAGAAACAGATCGGTAAGTTGTATGCTTTATTTTGTTCACCTCCTCCCTCCTCGTCATCTTCCTTTCTAAGTCTGTTCTTCATCTTTCATCTCATTTCCTACATATAATTTTCATTTATTCATTTCTAGCCCTTAGCAGCGCTATATTCCAGCCACCTTTAATAATTACGTCATTTCCAACCATGCTCTATACGTACCTACACGCGGTTCGTGATCGACATACTAGTAATCATAACAGGTCATCTGGGTGACTCCCTGTCAACTATGTCTATGATGTAATTATCAAACATAGCACCTTATTTTATATTTATTTTGAAGAGGAATAAAAGATCCTAACTGTGATATTTCATTCATTCACTCAATGAGCTTTCATTGACTGTGCCATGAAATATTAGCAGAATTTCGACTCACCATTTTCCATAGGGTTGTAGGGAATTTCTTGGATATCTGGATTCTATTAGCTGTCTATTAGTCTTGTTCATGTTATCAAGATAAAAACTCTTAGGCTTCGTTCACATGCAATGTCTATTTTCTAAATTCTATTTTCTATTTGCGGTATGTCTTATGATCACGGTCTGTGGCCTGAATATCCCGCGGCGTAATTACTGGCAGCGCGAGCCAGTTACTATAAGTATACTATAAGACATTGCATGTGAACGAAGCCTAATAATGTTGCTAATTGCTGAGACTGTCTATCCCACTGTTCACTGAAGCCCTGTTCAATGTAATTACTGTACACATAACAAGTCTTAAAATTAGCTTGATTCACGTTTTTTCAGTATCTAATATAGAAAACATTCGAGTAAAATAATTGATGTGTTGGAAAATAGCAAGTTGACATTTAAGTATTTTTATCTGCTGTAGGTTCTGACAAATGGTTACAATCAGGATCATCTTTAACTGATCAGGATCAACCTTATTTCAATCCGCATTCAAAGCATCATCCATCATAAATGTAATTTCACGGTACAAGACTTTTGATAGAATCTTTGAAGTCTCATAGCACCTTTTTGTTTCTAGAGTGCAATTATTATGCCGTGCTGTACATTGTAAGTGTAGCTTCCTGTAGCTTACATCCATCAATGTGTGCTAAAAGTTACATTAGTTTACTATTAAAAATAAACCATTCATTTATTCAGCACATATAAATACAATTACTATTTATTCTTAAATTATCTCTGTTATGTCACAATTTGCAGTCTATCTATTGGTATGCCTAACTTGTTTCTACCCCCTCTTTCTCGATATTGAACAGACCAGTAACCTTGCAAGGGAATCTCACGAAAAGCATTAAAGCGATAACAACTCTTCATTTTGGCTGGAAAAGTGCCATAAAACAGACTTTTCAAGAAGTTTTCTTTTAATTATTTTTTTAGTGTGCTTTTTTAAATAATCACTTAAGGTATTATTATGTAGGGTAGCCATTATTACTACCCTTACATATTACTATGAAGATCTACCAGGTTGGATCATCATGGATGGCAAGCACAGATTTCAGAATAATCGAGATATCTGCCATTCTGGTGGCAAAATGGGCTTTTCTACCTGTTGTTCACAAATTCTTTATTGTGAGATTTTAAATCCCATATGAACTGCTGTTATCCCTTTTAATTTAAAAACCATATTTCCACTATTCACACATATTATTATTTTTTTCATTTACTTCAATATTTTGAAATAATAAATGCATAACAGTGGACGGCGAAGTCAGACAGAACTGTGCATATACGTTGTTGTAACACATGCAATCTTGCAGATACAAAATATGACGACTCTATGCCTGGTGTGAAATACACCAGCAGGCAGAGCTCCAAAGCGACCTGAAATCTACACGGATCACGATGACCTAGTTTCGCGACCTAGTATGCCCCGTTCATATCAGTACACCATGGCTTCGGCCATTTACAGTAATTTAACCTCACCTTCCTCTAACTCCTCCACTGTCTTTTCAAACGCTAAGATGGTCATTGAGTCTGTAGAAGACCTGGACGCGCCGTCAGAAGGCGATAACAGAGGCGACACATCACTAGTAGTGCCTTGGAGTTCAGAGGCAACATCATGGGTATTTAATGTTGTTGCAGGGGATGCATTCTCCATACGAAGTCGATTTTCTTCCTCCTTCGGCTCCATCCTCGTTTATTTGAAGCTCACATGAAGTGCGGGGAGGCTGTATGGATTGCAGTGGCTCTGAAAGTGGTTGGGAACTGCATCCGGATGTAGAAACTCTATTATAGTCACTTCATACAGTGCGACTCTTGATTGTTTACGACATACTCCCCAGCACGCTTCTGCGCATGCTTAATATGATTAGAAAGTGCGAGATACTCTCAAACCGGGAGACACCTTAACGTCATAATGGACGAGATTCCCAGAGCAGTAAAAAGTTCACGTCTTGTTGCGGAAGATGCACATGTTATAAACGTGTGCTGCAAGCTTAAAACCATGCACAGTGCACGCAATGAGGTCCATTTATTACTTTTCTGGGTAAAACAAGCTCTACATTCTAGATTATATTCTGCTTACGCGTGGAAGGTGGGATATTAGGGAAGGCAGGGGGGGGGCTTAACGTTTGATCAATCTACAAACATTAGCAAATACGTATAAGGATATTTCTATAAGTATTTATAAAGGTAATAAATAGCATCCACAATTAAATAAAATTTACAATGAGATATTATTTAAAAGACAGTTAATAATGAAAGCAAAAAAGAGTATATATACAAATTATTACATAATTCATATGAATAAAAAAATATTCAACATGACAAAGAGCAACAGATAAAGCCTTGTTTCTGGATAGTGCTCGGCGTCGCGTCATCACGCAGCAGTGACAGTGGCACATGCATACTTGTAGATTATTGCTTACGTTGGTGAATTTCTCCAGTGACCCAATGTTGACACGGTGTTGGATAACTGCCGCTGTGCTGTCTAGTGTAGTTTATTACGTGCATTCCTTATCATTAGCCCGTTTTGTAGACAAGCCTCTTTTTTTTTAACATACAGTTCTTATGATTACCCAAGGGAATATCTTTCTCTGTTTGATACCATACAGATTAGTAAACTTCCGTTTGGCGATTATTCATTATCTTTGCTTAACTGCCGTTTCATTTTCGGGTAACATCACAGTTTTGTATGAATAACTGTACACAATGTAACGGAATATTCTCATGTAATCTTACCGCATTTATATAACGTTTTTGATAAACTTAGAATTGTTTAGCATTCACTTTAAGTTTTAAAAATATTAAACCTTTCTTTCTTCTCACCCGTGATTCATGTTTGGCATGTTGTATTAGTTGACACAGGTGTCATTAATTGTAGCTTTGTCTTTCTACTTCCCTCTATACACGTTTTCTAAATTTGTTACTAATTTGTATAAAATCAATCAAGCTTGTAAAATCCACATCTTTCTAAGCAGTTCAATGATCATAACTTTCGCCTGTTCAACGACTTCCTCTAGTCAGCGACCCATAGAAGATAAGAACTGTAATAGTGATTGATACCGTGGCCTTATCGGTCAGAGGTTACCTGTTGCCGATGGAAATACTTAGCGTAGACGTTATGTACTTTTTTTGTAATTTTTCTACGTTATGCACGTTTTGTGTAACTTTGCTCAAGATTTACTTATGGTGGGTATTTTGCTCGATAAATGTACGCTTTCTGATATGTCGTATTTTTTTCTAATTCGCGATTATCTCATTTGGCCAAAGTGCGTATCAATATTTTTCTCACCTACATGTCAGTGTTTGTCCATTTACAAGGAAGGATTGATCCAAGCAATGATTGTGTAATTGTTCCAATAAAACATTAAAAATTAATTTGATTCATTTACATAGGGGAGACCGGGGCTAGTTGGACCCCGGGGTAAGTTGGCCCCCCGTCAATTTATGAAAAAGTAACTACGAGGTAAAAAAATTGACCACACACTCTTGCAAAGTGACCGTAGCCTACAATGCTAAGGAAGTGTCGGACGTTAAAAAGTTTTACTTAAGCGGTGAGTCGAAATAAACGATTTTTGCACCTAAAAGTAATTTTATTTAAGAGATTTAAAAATCTATTTTCATAGGCTTTTGATCGAATATATGCTAAAGACCATTGTTGAAACAAACTCAATGGTTTAAAAACTGAATTTGTTACTTTCTTTTAAAAAGAAAATTTATCATNTATAACCAAAGGAAAACCCTGGGAAAAGTAAAGATTTATTTAACAGACATAAATATATTAGCACTTCCTTTTTACTTTATATTTAACTTCTGATATAGAAAAGCATGTTCACATCTGACTAAATTTAGACAGAAAAACAGACTAATTGACACCATCAGATTATCACCTTGCTGGGCATTTATTTACAATACCTGACAAGTTAAGTATCACTTTGCCCCGTGTGTTAATTTGGTTAAAAGTCAATTAGTTATTTTAGAAATTAGTCATTACAATGTTTTCAGAGCTCACAACCAGTGCAAAGTTTTATCTTACAGGAAGGCTGTGTATCACTCCTGGGTTAGACATGTTGGATTCAGCTGACAGCAAGATGCACAGTTCATGCACTGTAGTGCTGAAAACTGAGCATTTTGAACTGATGATTTCACCCTTTTACATGTCATAAAAATGTATCTGAGCTGGTTCTTTAGGGCATTTATTTATAAAAACAAGATTGCAGCCTTAGACGCAATCCCATTTATGACCAAAATAATAAGTAGGGAGTCGCTCAGGTGCAGTTTTAACAGCCACTTGCGCCTCCACCGCACTTATTGAGTCATTTTAACCAATCATTACACGTCCTAATTAACGTGAGACCCAACTATTACATGTCGTGATCTTAGCGAGTACGGTCATATCGTATCCAGCCTCTGGCAAGAACGATCGACTCCAGATAGCCAAACTGTAGAGAACATTCATGTACTTCCAAAGAAACAGATCGGTAAGTTGTATGCTTTATTTTGTTCACCTCCTCCCTCCTCGTCATCTTCCTTTCTAAGTCTGTTCTTCATCTTTCATCTCATTTCCTACATATAATTTTCATTTATTCATTTCTAGCCCTTAGCAGCGCTATATTCCAGCCACCTTTAATAATTACGTCATTTCCAACCATGCTCTATACGTACCTACACGCGGTTCGTGATCGACATACTAGTAATCATAACAGGTCATCTGGGTGACTCCCTATCAACTATGTCTATGATGTAATTATCAAACATAGCACCTTATTTTATATTTATTTTGAAGAGGAATAAAAGATCCTAACTGTGATATTTCATTCATTCACTCAATGAGCTTTCATTGACTGTGCCATGAAATATTAGCAGAATTTCGACTCACCATTTTCTACAGGGTTGTAGGGAATTTCTTGGATATCTGGATTCTATTAGCTGTCTATTAGTCTTGTTCATGTTATCAAGATAAAAACTCTTATAATGTTGCTAATTGCTGAGACTGTCTATCCCGCTGTTCACTGAAGCCCTGTTCAATGTAATTACTGTACACATAACAAGTCTTAAAATTAGCTTGATTCACATTTTTTCAGTATCTAATATAGAAAACATTTGAGTGAAATAATTGATGTGTTGGAAAATAGCAAGTTGACATTTAAGTATTTTTATCTGCTGCAGGTTCTGACAAATGGTTACAATCAGGATCATCTTTAATTGATCAGGATCAACCTTATTTCAATCCGCATTCAAAGCATCATCCATCATAAATGTAATTTCACGGTACAAGACTTTTGATAGAATCTTTGAAGTCTCACAGCACCTTTTTGTTTCTAGAGTGCAATTATTATGCTGTGCTGTACATTGTAAGTGTAGCTTCCTGTAGCTTACATCCATCAATGTGTGCTAAAAGTTACATTAGTTTACTATTAAAAATAAACCATTCATTTATTCAGCACATATAAGTACAAGTACTATTTATTCTTAAATTATCTCTGTTATATCACAATTTGCATTCTTTCTATTGATATGCCTAACTTGTTTCTTTCTCGATATTGAACAGACCAGTAACCTTGCAAGTGAATCTCATGAAAAGCATTAAAGCGATAACAACTCTTCATTTTGGCTGGAAAAGTGCCATAAAACAGATTTCTCAAGTATATTTCTTCTAATTATTTTTTTAAGTGTGCTTTTTGAAATAATCTCTTAAGGTATTATTACGTAGGGTAGCCATTATTACTACCCTTACTGTTACATATTACTATGAAGATCTACGAGGTTGGATCATCATGGATGGCAAGCACAGATTTCAGAATAATCGAGATATCTGCCATTTTGGTGGCAACATGGGCTTTTCTACCTGTTGTTCACAAATTCTTTATTGTGAGATTTTAAATCCCATATGAACTCTTACTGCTGTTATCCCTTTTAATTAAAAAACCATATTCCCACTATTCCCACATATTATTTTTTTATTTACTTCAATATTTTGATATAATAAATGCACAACAGTGGACGGCAAAGTCAGACAGAACTGTGCATTTACGTTGCTGTAACACATGCAATCTTGCAGATACAAAATATGACGACTCTATGCCTGGTGTGAAATACACCAGCAGGCAGAGCTCCAAAGCGACCTGAAATCTACACGGATCACGATGACCTAGTTTCGCGACCTAGTATGCCCCGTTCATATCAGTACACCATGGCTTCGGCCATTTACAGTAATTTAACCTCACCTTCCTCTAACTCCTCCACTGTCTTTTCAAACGCTAAGATGGTCATTGAGTCTGTAGAAGACCTGGACGCGCCGTCAGAAGGCGATAACAGAGGCGACACATCACTAGTAGTGCCTTGGAGTTCAGAGGCAACATCATGGGTATTTAATGTTGTTGCATTCTCCATACGAAGTCGATTTTCTTCCTCCTTCGGCTCCATCCTCGTTTATTTGAAGCTCACATGAAGTGCGGGGAGGCTGTATGGATTGCAGTGGCTCTGAAAGTGGTTGGGAACTGCATCCGGATGTAGAAACTCTATTATAGTCACTTCATACAGTGCGACTCTCGATTGTTTACGACATACTCCCCAGCACGCTTCTGCGCATGCTTAATATGATTAGAAAGTGCGAGATACTCTCAAACCGGGAGACACCTTAACGTCATAATGTACGAGATTCCCAGAGCAGTAAAAAGTACACGTCTTGTCGCGGAAGATGCACATGTTATAAACGTGTGCTGCAAGCTTAAAACCATGCACAGTGCACGCACAGAGGTCCATTTATTACTTTTCTGGGTAAAACAAGCTCTACATTCTAGATTATATTCTGCTTACGTGTGGAAGGTGGGATATTAGG